ATAGCATCATCAGCACAAGATTCATCAATTGGTGCAAACACAAGTTGAGAACACTCACCAACAGCATTTTCATCAACTCCACTGCAGTTGCTGACATTCTTTCTTCTATTTCCTTTCTTAATGGAGATTTAGCTTTATTTCATCCACTTTTCTCTCTAAATAGATAGTTTCTTCTTCTACCTTTTGCTATTTCTCCAATAAGAATCTGTATCTGACTAGAAACCGAAGAAGAAGAAAGACCAGGATGACACACAAATGGCCCGTGAAGCACACGATGAAGAAAACTGTTTCATTCTCACAGGATCTTATATCTGCAAGCTTATCGTCAATCTTCCGACGAGAGGGGGAAGGAGGCGGCGGGTGACGGTGGTTTTTTTTTTTGGCTGGGTGCAGAAAAGAGACGGGATCAAGAGGCCCTTGGGTAGATTGAACAGGTGGAGGATTTTGTTTGTGTCGTTTAAAAAAAAAATCCAACCGGATTTCATTCTCTTAGCTTTTAATTGACGAAGCAGATCTCCTTTCAGACGGGTTTTACGGGACAAGTGACCGCAAACTCAGCGGGATTCAAGGGATTCAGAGCAGATTTCTGATAAAATTAGATAATCAGTATTTAATTTGATATGATTTCTCATTTGATTTTGATTTTCTTAATTTTTTTTTAAATTAGAAGCAACATAAATGCCCAGTCATCCTCGTTTACTCACTAGAAATGACGGTAGCGAGACAATCGGTCCAAAGCCATCTCGATTTATGCAATTTTTTTTTTTACTTATATGCATTTCGCCTTGTATTATGTGTCGATTTCACCGCGACATTTTCTTTGCACGAATTGATAGTGTATTTAGGTATAATAGCGCAGTCTGTTTCGTGATCGAACTTTGTTTGGGTGACGCCGATGCCTAATTTTCTTCAAAATATGTGTAGTCACTTTGGAATTTCCTCTATTTACGTGAACAACCTCAATTGAACAAATTGATTGAGCGTTTAGAGTGTTGACGGTGTTCTGGACATGACGACAAAGTCCGTTCATCAATCTGACATCATTTGGGTAGCGCTGAGCGACCCCTTTTCCTTGAAATTCGTGCTTTGCCTCAGGACCCGTGTCGACCTTATCGCATGTTTTAATTTGAACAAATTGGCTGTCGTCTTTAGGTATTTAGGATGTTCTGAGCGCTGTGACAAAGTTCGTTTCGCGATCGAACTTCTTTGGGCAGTGCTGAAGCCTATTCTCCTTTATATGTGTGTTTTGTCTCTAAGTTTGTGCCATCGATCCAGATGATCCAAATTGAACAAACAAAATGTAATTTTTGGAGGTTAATAATGTTCCAGACGCAACGATGAAGTCTGTTCGTCGATCCGACGTCGTTTGATCAACTTCACGCTTTAATTTCAGTTGTCGGTCATCCCTTTTGAGTGATCTAGTTCGATTCGATTGCGAGGGTCCTTGACCTAGCATAATTCGACATCCTAATCGCAACAACGCCATTCTTTTGACAACCAAAGGTCGTTTAACCCTTTAAGAGACGTGTGGCACCAAGGCGCGTATTGCTTTATTCACCAGTTTAGATCCTTTCTCGCATGGTTTGTGGTATTGGGGTCAACCGAACTTTAACATCATTTTGTCATATCATTCATTCATTCGTGCAACAAGTTGCAACTTGTCTCATTTTGATATAACATTATATATATATATATATATATACACACACACACACACATCACTATTTTTATCACTTTGAAATCTTCACATTAGCAAGATATTCCTATGGCATGTTTATGCGATATAGAAATGGTTGCAAAAGTCTCCGAGTTTCTCCTTCTCCCTTCGTATATCCACTTGTAGCTCCACATTCATCTCTCATATGTTATATATACAGATGGAGGAAGCATCTGCTTATAACTCCACATTCATCTATTATTTTCCATAAGAAAAATTGGAGGGCAATAATATCACATTCAAATGAAGGATAATAGCTTCACATTCATCTCTCATCTTTCACAAGGACAAATGGTGGACAATAGCTTCAACTCCAACCTCTCCTTTCACCATGACATGCACATAATGTCATCATGAACATGCTTGATTATGGCATGGGATAATTATACTTGAAAAGCACATGTTTACAATTGATAATTACCAGTGTAATGATAACTTGCATAGTTAATTAGAATAATGAAATCAATAAAAAATGTTTAGCATGGTTCTTACCACACAAGGATTCATTTTATTGCACATAAATTTTCTTACATTTCAAAGTATCCAATGAAACACTTGAAAGTTTTTGTTTATTGAATTAGTCTAATGTATTCTATGAAATACTGAAATTTATATGATGAAAAGTCATTAAAAACTAAAAAATCATTCTTCTTTGATTGTGTACTCAACTAAATTCCTAAATTGAAAACCAAAGGGGGTTTTCAGTAGCCCACAAACTTCAATGCCCAGTGCCACATCTTTGCCATCAACGTTGCAACAATGGCCACATCGCCATTGCTTTCTTATCCAAAACTTCCTTAAATCACATCATCACCGCCCAAGCCTTATCCACATAGCTCACAGTATCGCCGCGCTCTATAGTCATGTCACCTTAGTTATCTCTCATTTCCTCTAGCTACCACAACGTACAGAGCCACAGTATCACAACACCCCTAAAAACTCCCTAAACTCAAGAATTTAGTGCCGTTGCACTAGAGCTCAGCGTGGCTACGTCACTCCAATCACCATAATGTTGTCGCGCTTGAACTCACAGCGTCACGAGACAAAAATGTTAAACCTCACAATTCAATTCATATTTCATATATAAGCATTCTATTTGACACTTCAAATTCCTATCAAGTCATAGCTTAACACAAATACATACATTTTCATAGATCTCAAAATCTAAGTCATTACAACAATAGTCCCAAATATTTTCATAGAAGTATGTGGAATTCCAACTAATCAAGTTGGAATGAATTGCTGGATCTTCTCTCCAGTAGCATATCTCCAATAGATGCTGGAAGAGGAAACTTTTTATTCTTAAAACACTTCAAAAAGGCTTTTCTTGAGAAGATAGAGATAAAACTGTATCGAAGGAGTGGAAGAAGTAGAATTCTTAGTATCTTCTGGCTAACTTCAGTTCTCTGCTCTTTGCTAATTTGTTTTTCTATACAGTTGGATGGCTTCAATTATAGTTATTTCTGATGAAGTTGGCTATTTCACTCCATCAAATAAGAAATCTTGCAAGTTAGTTAGACAAGCGAGGAAATTTATCTGAAGTTGCGGGGCAACTTCTTTCAGGCTTAATTTGGGACCGTTTTTTTACTGTTTCTTTAAGTAGTTTTCTAGTAAGAAATTAAAATTTTTACTAAAAAACTGCTTTAAGAAAAAGTAAAAAATCGTTTCAAACGAAACCTTAGTCGATTGATCCAGTGTTGTCTTCATACAACTGTTATATTTTTTTATACAATTATGTATATAGGCAATTTTATAATACTTTTACGAGGTCAAGAGCTTAACCTAATTCTTTTTTTTTTTTTGAAAATTTTAGAACTGAAGTACAAATCATACACACAAAGGACATTCCTCAAATTCTCAAAGTAAAAAGAGAGCTTAAGTTAGATCAATTTCAAAGATAGATATGTTTTTTTTTTTTTTTAATTTTGATTTTGTTTGGTATAATTTTCTTGCTGTTTTTTAACGCAGTTTTTTAGTATAAATTTTTAATTATGAAATTTTATAATAAAAAATTATTTTAGAAAATAATAAAAAATTAAACTCCTCCTTCTACCTTTACATTGTTCTCATAGCTTAAATGTCTAATATTTTTTTTTTTTTGAACATTTAGGCCATTTAAGGTAAACTCACACACACAACGCATACACATAGACTCGAACCCTGAACCTCTTAATTGGAAGCCTAAGCTCTCAACCAATAGGCCAAGGAGAGTTGTGCATCATCTTCTTTGGCTGTGAATGATTCTGAAACATTTAGTAGATATTTTTCTAGTAGGTTAAGTTTTGGACAACTTTTTTATTATTTCTTAAAACAATTTTTTATAAAAAATTTATTATTTTTATACTAAAAAGTTGTTTTGAGAAACATTAAGAAAATCATCGTGATGGCTTTCTTTATGAGTGTCAATTTTGGCTCATGGGTCGGGTTCGAGTCGAAACCCAACACTATTCGGGTCAACCCGAACCCGAGCCGCTTCGGGTCCGGGTCAACCCGAATGAACCGAAATTATGAAAAAACTGCTAGTTTTCGGATAAAAAAGGGTTAAACTCCGCTTTTTAGGTAAAAAACAGGTTGGAAACAGTCAATCTTGGGTTTTCGGGTAAAAAATGGGTCAATTTCGGATCAAAGGGTTAACCCGAACCCGACCCGATTTTTGAAATATGTTGAATTGTTGAACCCGAACCCGACTCTTTTCATGTTCGGGTTGACCATAACCCAGAATTTTCGGGTCAGGTTCGAGTCAGATTTTCAGGACGTGTCAAATATTGTCAACTCTAACTTTCTTACTACTTAAAATAATATTTTAGTATAAAAATAATTTTTGTATTAAAAAACTACTTTAAGAAGCGTTACGAAAGCCGTGCGACACGAAATCTTAGTCTTTATCGGGAATATATATCATATTTCAAGGATTTTATCCGGGCTATTAATTTCATATATATTTGATTAATTATTCTACGCGAACGTCGAACGTCGTCCAGGGACCAACCAGAATGTGTCACGTCACTATAGCTCAGTACCACTAATATGACATATTATGATTGGTCTTCAAATGGTGTTGCAACGTCTCTATTGAAGAACAAATTTCTTATATAAGATAATATTATTCACCAACATAAATATTATGATTATATGTGATTTTAAACGCATAAAACTCATATTTTTAATTTTTCTATGATATGTGCTGTAATGGCTATCACAATTTTATTTTATTTAACTACTTAATATTTTGAGATTTTAATTGAATCGAAAGCATGGTAAGGAAGGACAGTACATATATACAATATAAAAGAAGGTGGCTCTCAGTCCCATCGTATAAACGCGCAGCCGTGTCGCCGATCCGCCTGCTCGGTTCCCATTGTTTTTGGCGGGCAAAACCAGCGAGCTTTTCAAAAGAGGAAGAGAAGCCATTGAGAGATGCAAAAAGATAAATAGGACAGCACTGAGAGCGGTTGAGGTTTACTCTGCAAGGGTTAGGGCTTCGCGGTATGGAAATGGATGATAGCGGCGTTATGGTCAAGCTTTCTGTACTCGGGAAGCGTCCTGGTCGACGCAAGAAGAACGAGAACGGGGACCCTGAGTTCAGGCTGCGGGGAGCGGCTGCGAGGTGTTTAGATGACGGCGAGGCCGTCAAGGTGATCTCTCGGCGGAAGAGGGCCTCCGCCAGGCCAACGGCATTGGAAGGATCAAGTGGAGAGATGGCTACGGTGCTTCTTGTTGTTTTGATGAGTTTTCACTTTTGCTCAAGCTCTTAGTTGACTTCGGTTTTCATGTTTTCTAATATCCTGTATGCGATCTTAAAGGCGATAAGGAAACCTGTGTTCAAGCCATCGGGGAAGGCCGATCGTAGGAGGAAACGGGGGAAAGAGCGCGATGCAGTTAGGGGCGAGGAGAAAGGATCGAAACATGTGGATGGATTAAAGTTTATAAATGTGATTATTCCTTTTTAGTTCTTTTTTTAGGGGATGATAGATATATCTACCCGTAAGAGAGAAATACTTTTTTGCTACTTTTGTTTTAGAAATTTATATATAGTAGTCAGTTTTGGTTGCAGGGTGATGCCGAAGAGGAGAAAGAGGGGATTGCGGAGGGGGTTAAGAAGCGGAAGAGAAAGTCTGCAAACAATGAGAAGAATGTGGGCGTTCTTTATCAGTTCAACTTATATTGGGTTTCTTCTGTCAATTTAATCTTTTTTTTGGGTTGCAGTCTTTTATTTTTTATTTCTTTGTGCCTAATGGTGATTAGGTTCATAAGACGAAGATCTTGGCAAGTCCAAATGCCAAGGGAAATTGTTCAAACAATGAGAAGGATGGCGTTGTAAGTTCGCCAGTTCAACTCATATTGGGTTTCTTCTGCGGATTTAATCTTTTGGATTTATCTTTTTTGGTTGTGCAGTCTTTGATGTTTCACTTTTTTGTGCCTAATGTCGGGTAGGTTCGTAAGAAGAAGATGCTGAAAGGTGATGATGCGTTGATGTGCCATCAATGCCAAAGGAATGATAAGGGAGATGTGGTATGGTGTCAAGCTTGCCAAAGGAAGCGGTTTTGTTACCCATGCATGAAGAGATGGTGGGTGAATGCCTCGTTTTCTTATTTTTGATCTCATTTACTGTCTTTCTCAATATATGTTCTGTTATTTTTTATTTTCACTTGTGCTTTGCTTATTCTATGCTAAGGGCATCTCCAATCGAAAATCCCTTTTTTCACTCCAAAATGCGTGATTCATCTCCAATCGAAATCCATTTTGTGCCTTTCTGCGAAGGTAATCATCTTCTCCTCTATCGTGCATTTTTTCGGCAAATCCGGTAGAGACAGAAAAATAGCGTAGTCGAACAGTGGAATGCCATCTCACTGTACACCCGCAACCAGATAGCGGAAGTTTTTCTGTTTGGCTGGAGGTCTCAAGCAACTCCATTCATGCTTTTGGAGTTCGGTTGGAGAAGGCCTAATGCAATCCACATCTTTTTGAGATTCTCAATTGATGTATATGTTTATTTTTTGAACCACAAATCTAAGACTTTTGTGTACACTAAAGCCATTTAAGTTATTTTTTGAATTTGGGGATTTTTTTGGCATCCATTGTCTTAGAATTTATTCTGATATCTTTGTTGGTGCTACATAGGTATCCCCACTTGAAGGCAAAGGACTTTGCTATAAAATGCCCTGTTTGTCGGTTCAACTGCAATTGTAAATTGTGTTTGCGCATGATGGGCATCACTGCGGTCTGTTATAATTCTTTAGTTCTCACCTGTTTATATTCTTTATTGTTTTTTGAGATGCCAACTAGTTATTTTTTACATTTTCTAGCCCCCAAAAAGGGACATTCAGGAGGATGAAAAAATACAACACTTTTTGTATGTTCTGCGTCTGTTGCTGCCATGGTTCAAGGAATTTCGGAAAGAGCAAAACACAGAAAAAGAAATTGAAGCAATTGAAAAAGGTTAGGATTGCACAAGTTGAAATTGTTATGTACATCGCTAGACATCATTCCATCATCTAATAGTTCTGGTATGCTCATAACTAGGTCTTGCATCAAGTAAAATAAAGATACAAGAAGTTCCTTGCGAGAACGATGAGCGTGCATATTGGTAGTACTACTTTCGTATGGACGTAAATAGTAAGTCTATTTATAAGTTTTATTGTAAAACATTTATTGATTGATCAATCTTGTTTTTTCAGCAATTACTGCAGTACATCATTGGCAGATTTCCATAGAAGCTGCTCTAGTTGCTCCTATGACCTTTGCTTATCTTGTTGTCGAGATCTTCGTGGAGGATGCCTACTTCAGCAACCTGTAAAGCAAGGTAGTGCAAGTACCTACTTTGCTGAAGATCAAGTAACTGAACCAATGCAATGGAAAGCCAATGCTGATGGTAGTATTCCTTGTCCGCCAAAGGAAATGGGTGGTTGCGGTAGTACTATATTGCATCTCAAATGTATATTTCCAGAAGATTTGTTGTCAGAGATAGAATTGAAGGCTAATAGGATTCTTGAACACCAAAGCATCGAACATGGAAGCCCTCCTCATGACATTGTTCATTGCCCTTGTTTAGATTCATCAAGAATGATTGATTTTGGCATAAATACACTAAGAAAATCTGCTTCAAGGGAAGGCTTTGATAATTATTTATACTGTCCAAGTGCAAAGGATACTAAGAGTAGAGAATTGGAACACTTTCAAAGGCATTGGGCTAAAGGTGAGCCTATTGTTGTTCGTGATGTTCTTGATATGACAGCTGGATTGAGCTGGGAACCAAAGGTTATGTGGCGTGCTTTGCGGGAGAAAAAGAAAACGGTTAATTATGAGAATTTTGAAGTAAAAGCTATCGATTGTTTGGACTTCTGCGAGGTCTGTCATGCCTTCATTACTCAAAGCTGGGCAATATTTTGTAAATTATATTTTTGCTTTTGTTAACAATATGCTTGATTTTGAATCTTAGGTAATAATTTATTGAATTTTTAATTCATTCTCTACAAAAATATAATTTAGTATTTGATTTTAAGTCGACCATAAGATGATGTGATTATTCCTATTTTTCTCAAATGATGTTATCTAATAATTTTTCTTCGGCAGTTTAATGTCAATGAATATTTAGATTATAGTTATTTTGGTTGGGTAGATCCCTTTCTTATCATATTTATTATTGTTTATGAAAAGAAGTTTCATTGATGTGCTAGAGCTTTCTATATATGTATTTGCTTTCTTTGTTTTGATCGTTTTGTTTCCTGATAAATAACTGTCGTGTTTTGAGAAGTTTAATGTTTTTCTACTTGTGATTTTAAATATTTTTAAATTTTGCTAATGTGTACACCACTGGCCATCTATGCATTTAACTCCAAGGCACTCAAATCTCTCTTAATTTTTGTTACTTTCTCTCCCTTTCAATAGCATATAAGTGCTTCCACACACATACCCTAGCACCTAACTTGCTCATATGTAGGCTTGTACGTGGTTTCAATCACTTGGTTATGTATTCAGAAATGTGTTTTTGTTGCTATTATATTATTTTTTTTTGGGTGCATTTTTAGATATTTGTGCTTTCTTGTATCAAAGATGTGCATCCTGATCACTTGTTATTTTGTAGGTTGAAATTAATATTAGTCAATTTTTTAGAGGGTATTCTGATGGCCGATTTCATGAAGATGGTTGGCCTGAAATGCTTAAGCTTAAAGATTGGCCTCCATCTAGTTCCTTTGAAGAACGTTTACCACGTCATGGTGTTGAATTCCTTTCCGCGTTACCTTTTCAAGAATATGCAAATCTTCGAGATGGTCTTCTTAATATTGCAGCGATGTTGCCTGAAGGTGTTTTGAGGCCAGACCTTGGGCCAAAGACATACATAGCTTATGGATTTGTGGAGGAATTAGGCAGAGGGGATTCTGTTACTAAACTTCATTGCGACATGTCTGATGCGGTATTGTAAATTCTCTTGGTTTCTGGCAACATATTTTGTCAAGAGTGATATTAATTTTTTCTACGCTAAGCATTGAAAGATTTTGATATGAATCGGTGATTTTTCCTTCTCTTTATCGTCTTTGTTCAAACATAAAGATATTTATAAATGTTGATCAGTGAATATTGCACGTACTGTAGTTATGGATTAATTGACTTGAACAAAATAAAATTATTTAAATTTGCATGATTATTTTATCTTAAAGGTTTCTAACCTTGTGAGTTTGTTGTGCAAATGATTAGACCTTCTCCCTTTGGCCTTCATCAGAACAGTTTTGATAGACTATGTTTCAGGAATACCAATTTGCCACTGATAAATGACACATGTACACTTGAATAAACTCAATGCATCAAATCCTAATTCATTTGTATGCATGTTACATAATGACACAAGGACTATGTAAACTTGATTTTAGACCATGCACCCTTATGCTTGCTGGTTGCACCTTCAAGTATGATGTACTCAATCATGCATGCAAGTTCATGGTTTCATATATGGTACTTTTGAACTGTTTCATCGTATTTTAATTAGTGGCACAAACTATCCTAAGAATTGTGATTGATTACTTAGATTCTGGCAGGATTGTTTAACCAATTTGAAGGTTGAAACCAATATGTCAATAGGGTGATGCTGTTCTTAAGTACCATGATATTGTAAGATGATTGAAACACCGATTTGATTCACCTTACATTTTTTTTCCAGCTGAAACTTTATATCTTTAAATTTTAACAGCCTACATTTTGTGGGCAAAGTTGAGACTTTGTGCCACTGTGGGTGATGCAAGAGGTTACCTGATATTTTTAATCAGCATAATTTGCTACTCTCTTATTTGGCTTATTGCAACTTTAGTTTTTTCGGGGAACTTAGTTTTGCTATGTACTGCTTGTTTATTTGATTTGCTGGATTTCACTTTTGAAGTTATATTGATCATGGTGTTTAGTTTAAACTTTGTTTTGTACTGGTTTTAGAGTTGTTATGCTATCCTTCAAATTGTCTCACGTGAGCCTGCACCATGTAGCATACAGCAGTTTTTTTTTCTTGTTCTTTTGTATGTAATTTTCAATTATTATTAATTATGTTATGCAGTATGTTTTTTCATGCTCTTGATTATCAATTTTAGATTATTTTCTATTTATTCTTCATTTGGAAAGCTTTTCAATTGGTTTTTTAAGTCTAGATTTGACATTATTTAATTTTTGTCAAAAATGTGCAAGAGGGAGTGCTATAATATTTCAAGTGAATCTCCTCCGTGACTTCAACATGGCCATTTTGGTTTATTTAGTATGACATATGTCATCACCAATAGTTATGCGTTCTTTTTTAATGTATTCTCTTTATTTGTGTCTAGATCTTATGTATAGGACATGTCTCATTATTTTTATTTTTTTCTATACGTTAAGCTCTTGTGATTGTCATTTTTTTTAGTCATGTTTTATTTTTAGACAGCTATGTTGGGTATTTTTTGTCATGGGTCATGTTGGGGCTTAATATTATTGAGTTTGTTCATAGCTATGAGAATAGTGGTAAGTTTGTTATAGATGTAAATTTGATTGTAGATATGAATTTGGTTGTAGATATAAGTATGGTGGCAGATTTGAATTTAATGGTTGATATAATTTTTGTGATAGATTTGAATTTGATGGTATGTATCAATATGGTGGAAGATTTGAGCATTATTGTAATAACCGGGTTGGTGGTCGGTTCAATCGAACCGGCCAACCCACCTATTATTAGTCGCGACCTCAGGAGGTGTCGGTATTAGCGAATGAAACAAAGAGGAAAGGGGTGGAGACGTTCGCGAACAAGCAGGGGGCAGACGGTTGAACTCACGAAAAAAAGCCTGGGGAAGTTTTGTTTCACCATTTTAAGCAGACGATCACGTTGGAAGGTAAGAGTAAACAACTCCTTTTCATTACTATTGTTATAGAATCGGGTATTTGGGAGAAAGAACGATGAAAGAGAGGAACAATTTGGAAGGAAAGAGGAAAAATGTTTGTTTTCTCAAGCTTTTATAAATTGTTCCTAATCTCTTCTCTAATTAGTGGAAACATTTAATTTGAAGATAAGGAAGGCTTTTGGAAGCGAGGAGAGGAGATTTGTGCGGGAGAAAGAGGAAGTTTTGGGATTTGGAAAAATTCCCTCATTGTAATTAGACTTTCATATGAATTTTGTTAGATAGCATATTTGTTTTATGAAAATTGTATTGTTTAATTTTAGGGATTTAAAGGGAGAAATCAAGTTGTTGGAGTTCGTTTCAATAAAGACTCAACAACGAAAGAAATGAAAATTTTGTAAGGTAATTTCATGTAGAAGAAATCAAACATTTATTGAGACATTCAAATCGGGATTCAGTGTTAATTAAATATTTATGTTATTGTGAACAATAAAAAGGGTTTCAATTCCAAATGAATATTGGAAGAAAAGAATCAAAGCGGGTAATTAAAATTATTTGAGATTTTAGTATTTATTTCCATTTTCATATTGAAATAAAGATTTCTTTGTATTATGAATAAATCTATGTAGACTTCAAATGTATACGATAGTGTATGTAGATTATTCTGATAAAGTATATAGAGATGTCATGAAAATGTGAAAGAAGGTTAGAAGGATAACATAAATAGAAAGATAAAGTTTAAAGCAGGTATACCTATATATGTTACTGATATGTATTTAATAAACGTACTAATAAATGATATAAAATAAATGGAAGAAAAATGAAAAAGGGAAAAAGATATGCATGCAAACTTACATCAGTTCACCCCTGTATGATATTTGCTAGGGAAGCAACGTATTCATGCACGTTAAAAAGAAAAATGTTATGGAAAAAGAAATAGAAATAGTTGTACCTTTGGTACATTTAGACGATGCTCCTGTATAAAATAAATGTGAAAAGGAATGTATATTAAAGTAAATGGTATAAATGAAAATGATATTATGAAAGAAAAATGATATGTATAAATGAATGAATGGAATCCAATGAACCAAAGAAAAGAAATGTGTTTCAAATGATAAATAAATGAATATATATATAAGGTTATATGTATTGTACGTTTTGCATTTTAATTATTTTTAACAGTTACCCACTGAGTTTACTTGTAAACTCATTCCATTAATTGAAAATTTTCAGGAAAATCCCAGAGTTTTAGAAATGGATGAAAGAGAAGAGTTTGTTTACAGAAGATGACGTGCAAATGATAATAGGTAATTTATGATTTGTGTATTAGTGGCTAATCAAATATAAAGGAGAAATATTTGATGTTTTAAATATTGTATTATTTATGAATTGAAATGAGTTAATCCTACCGTCCGACTTTAGTTCCTGCTTCGTTAAATAAAAAATTCGAGCCGGTTCGTGACAATTATTTTTGTTGGTGTTTTTCACCTCTCTTTTAGTCATGTAAATGAGAAGTCTTGTAATGGAAAGTAATTACGGATGAAGAAAAATCCTATTATTTCTATTTTGTTATTTATGCTTCTCACCTTAATAGTAATGCTCAAGTGTGTGTGTCCACTAGGAAAGAAGATTCTATCTGTAGCAAAGGATTGCTTGTGGTGGTCAATCTTCAATTATCCCAAGTTACATAACCAATATTTAGGTGCCAATTAAATCTTATATTAGCATTTGATAAATGTTGTTTCTTGATTTATAAGCTTACCGGTCTTATTTTGAAGATTATTATATCTTATCTTGAAAGCCACTCATAAATTTTTTTTTCTTTAAAAGTTCAATTAATACTTTGTATTAATCATGTTGCATAGTTAGCTAGTATTGTTTGATTGATTAGTGAGAAAATATTTTGCATAAATTTATATTATAAATTTATTTTCTACATTAGATTGATGCTCGATCAAAGTTGTTTCCTCAATTATTTATTGTTATATTTTTTACACTAGCTTTTGTTAGATTCATTTTGATTAGCTTTCCATCCCATTATGAAACAAAGTGAAAGCTCCATATCACAACTTTATTAAGTCCTTCACTCATGGAGTTTTGTTTTTAATTTCATTTAATTTACTTGTCATTCAATTGAAAAATATTTGCTTGCATCTAGTTTTGTATTTTGTGTGCTCTATGGCATGTTACATTTAACTTTTTAGAAATTAGAAATTTTTAAACTTGATGCATTCATCATGCTAATGATGTATTGTAGTGGGTACTCTTATACAAATGAAGCTTATTATATATCATTGATACATCGTACAAAAATTATCTTGATCGGGCACTAATCTCAAAGCAAAATCAAGTTGGAAGCTTCTGAAATCAAAATCAGGAGCATCTGAACTTCGATTTCAACAAACTTACAGTCGAGCTGAGCGTCTCGAAAATACGAACCCAACAACACCAAATTCGACCCAATCCGAGCCCAAATGGGTCCAAATCAAGGACCCGAAGCGTTGTTGGAAGGTTCAAACCACAATTTGGATTACCAAATGACTTCCAAACATAACAAACGTATAGTCGAACCGAGCGGCTCGACAAGACGAATCCAACGAGCCCAAGATTATTGAATTCTGACATCACTACGACATTTAAACGTCCATCAAACGGTTCATGATCAAGGGATTTAAGATCGGCCGTCCATCCAACCACTCCCAACTAACCCTTGATCCTCCACCTATTTATGGGTCATGCCATTCCCAAAATCTATAAATAGAGCCCCCTCTCCTCTTGAAAAAGGGACCCCTGAGCCTAAGGAAAAAAGAGAGAGATCGGAGATCGCTCTTGCTTCCTAGCCTCCTCGACCATCGCTGAAGTTTCGCCGGACCACTGCCGGAGTTCCGCCGGACCACCACCTGACGCCCTGTGCTCCACCGGATCACCGCCTAACGCTGTCACTCTGCCAGACCACCACCTGACGCCTTGTGCTCCACCGGATCACCACCTAACGCTATCACTCCTCCGGACCACCACTCGACTCCATGTGCTCCACTGGACCACCGCCTAACGCCGTTACTTTGCC